AACCCAGATTTCAAACCCACCACCCACAAGCGAGGGCAACCGACAGCGGCGTGATTTTCGGCGAGGTGTTTCGGTCGAATTGAGGGTTGATCGGCGAAGAAAGAGAGAGAATTTCTGGGTATGGTGGTGGTGGTGATGGTGGTAGTAGTGGTGATGGTGATAGTAGTGGTGATGGTAGTGGTGGTGAATTTAGTTGGGAGGGGAATGATTGGGGTGGAAATGATTAAATGTAGAGTTTAAGTTAATGAGATAAAAATAATAGTTTAATTAAGGTGTTTAAAAACAAAAGTAAGGGTAATTTTGTAAAATCACCCTTAAAAACTTACTAAAAAAGGAAAAAAAAACTTGTTGCGAGTAATGTAAAACACCCATATTTAGTAATTGTTGCGAGCAATATGAAACGGAGGGAGTATAAAAGATCAATTCTGGTTGAATGAACGTCCATCCTATTCTTCTCCCCTTTTCTCTGTTTTTCCTCAAAAAAACTCTAGGAACTCATGATCGTTAGTACTAAACGCTCTTGAGTGTATAATATTTGTATCCCAAAAACGTGTTCATCATAGGCTTGTTAGTACGGTGGGGCGAATAACGTTTTTAGAAAAGTGTTCTTCGTACACGCCTAGATCCATTGTTTGTTTGTTTTTGTTGTTCCAATTAATTAACACCAACAATAAATCATTTACAATTAATATGTAGTTTTATAGTTTCAAGTTTCATAATTTTTCTCAAGCATAGCTATGAAAATAGTTAAAGTTACATCTTAAAAACCCACAAAAAAATAGAAATAAGTACATATGGGAAGAAGGGGTATGTATCATCAGATTAATATTGAGGATTTTAAACTGTAAGGTATTTTATTTCAACTAATCATATAATAAATAAAGGTTGAATCTAATATGCTAATACATAGTCAGTCATAGAGACCAAAAATAATCACCAATAATAATAATAATAATAATAATAATAATAATACAATTAAGATTTTAATATAAATTGCTAAATAATATCGCACAAAAAAATGCCAAGGCCTAATTAAAGATCAGCAACGTCGCCACAAAACCAGCCCTTAGAGAGAAAGATACGTAGTAAAATATTAGTCAACCAAGAACAAAGGGAGCATTGTACTGTATTCGTTAATCTTGACAAACAAAATTACAAAAAGATAGATATGCATGTTCATGTACGACGTTGTTATAATTCATGTGTATTAGTAGTGTATAATAATGATGAAACACACATTAAAAGTATAAGATGTTATGTATCTTTGCATGCATGGGAGTGCCCACAAATACCAAGATAATTAATCAAATGATTAGTATCGTTGCATGGCGTTGTTAGTAGTATTATGTTATAGAGTACTTCCATGCAGATCTCTTAATATCATTACAATTTTACTTTACTTTGTGCATGGCAATTTCCTCTTTTCTCTCATTATTTACCAATTTCACCTTATTAATCATTATTAGTGGGGGCATCAAGTTTAGAGAAGTGCTATAATTGTTACTCCGTATGTATGTATGTATGTATGTATGTATGTATGTATGTATGTATAACACCTTTTATTTCTTTTCTTACTTCGTAGAATACAAAAAAAGTTTACTTTTTAATTTGAGAAAAGGATCCATGATAGTATCGTAATAATTCATACGGATAAAGTTATTATTAGTGTTAATAAAGCTAGTATGGGATTTGGTTATAACATTTGCCACTATTATTACATTTTCTTGTAAATTACCCTTTTCATGAACTTATCGCACATACAAATAGATATGGTTATAATTTTATGCATACATTTCATATAGTCATTACATGCATGTTCCGATCCTTTAACTCTTATTTTTACTTGTAACACTTTTTTTTTTTTGGTTATTAATGTATTACTCCAGTCCGCATTAAAATGAATTCACTACAACTTTCAACTATGAATAAACAAATATACATATAAATCTAACTAGTTATTAGCATCGGCAATGTCCTGATATGTCGTAAATTTATAAAATTAATAAAGATGGATAATGTTAAACAATTATTATTGAGTAAGCGAAAACTATAATAAGTCTATACTTCATATTATATTTCACTAATATATACTACATATATTATTAAGGTATGATCTGAATATTTATTATTTGGTATGGTATGATATTACGGAGTATTTAATAATTTGACCAACTAAACTTTGACTGCATTTTAATACTAATCTATAAAGAAAAACATCATCAAAATAAATCTTATTAGATTCGTCTTATTATAAACTTTTCAAATAAGTAATTTTTGTAATACGCGTAATTAACAGTATTTACAATAAGTAAATGATAATTAAAAGTTATGATCTGATCTGAAATTATTAAGGAATAAGTAATAAGTATCTGAAATAAGTTGAAGAGAACAAGTCCTATTTAATTTTTATAATTTATACTTATTGATAATTTATTGATAATTAAAGATATAATAGATTGTAGTTAAACATATGTATCAATATGGACATCAACACATTACAAATGGCAAAGATGAATTAAGGTATTGTGGCGGAATTAGCTTGTTCATGTTGTGTACTACTCGTATATCCTAATGGTCTCTCTAGAGACCAAAAGTGGTTAGTGGTTTTCCTATCTCAAAGAATGAACTCTTGCTTATGTTGGGTAATTACTGTAATGTATTACTCATTGGTAAACCAACACAATGGCAGCTGTATTTACCTGTTTAAACACATTAAAAAACTAATAAAAAAAATTAAAAAAAAATAAAAAAAACAAAACAAAAAAGGTTTGATTTTCAAACATTAGAAAGACTAATAAAAACGTTGAACTTGTAAAAAATATGATGATGATCAACCACTTCAGAGCTACACACTTTTTCACTAGTTACAAACAGAGGAATGTAAACTCTCTCTCCTCCTCTCAAATACTAATACGTGCTTTTAGGGAGCACTGGCTTTAATCAGTAGATTTAGATTTCAACTTTTAGCTTTTGTAGATTCTTGATGATTTTAAGGTGAAACATTGGACTTTGTCATATAATTAATCATATTTTACATCCAAAAGTTGCTTTAATTCAGCATTTCGAAGCTTATTGAGTTATTGGTGTAATGGTCTTCTAACCTTTATATCAAACTTTTTTTTTGTCAAAGCAGTTATAAATTTTTTGCTTGTTTTTTTTTTAAAACTCCATATGCTTAGTCTTGGTTAAAAAATAAAAACACTACTCCATGTTACTAGTATACTTTGTTTTTGGCAAACAACTATGGATCAACAAGAGTGTTAACTCCACTTACCTTTTGTTGTACTATGTATTAAAGTCAAATAAATTGTCTTAAACTTTGTGACAAACAAAATGTTACAATTAGGCCCTGTTCTCTTCACCTTAAAAAAATAATATTAAGTAAAAATAATTTCAGTTCAGTAAAAATAAGTTCAGTTCAGTAAAATTAATTTCAGTTCAATAATTACAGTAAAATTCAGATTTCTTAAAGAGGGATTATAATAGGAAAATTAGTAAAAATAATTTCAGTTCAGCAAAAATAATTTCAGTTCAGCAAAAATAATTTCAGTCAGTAAAATTAATTTAAGTTCAGTCAAAATAATTTAAGTTCAGCAAAATTAATTTCAGTTCAGTAAAAATAATTTCAGTTTAGCAAAATTAAGGTGAAGAGAACGGGGCCTTAGGGCTTGTTCTGATTGACTCAACTGAATATTTTATGAGAGAAGGAAATTAAGATAAGAACTGAATTGAACTGAACTTATTGAAACCGAACTCAACTAAACCGAACTAAAAATAAGCTGGAGAGAACATGCCCTAAGCTGAATTGAACTTATTAGAGCTGAACTGGACTGAATTGAACTGAATATTTTATGAGAGAAGGAAATTAAGATAAGAATTGAACTGAACTGAAGTAAATTGAACTGAAAATAAACTGAAGAGAACAAACCCTTATAAACACAATGAGTGTGTTTTGTTTAAACTTATCGAAACAAATCTTCATTTAATTGAAGTTCCTCTAGTTATTTCCTTAGATATTGCAACAATTATTACAAATTTTGTATTATTTCACACACAAGTAATCATAAAACTAATACTCGTATTTAAAATGTAAGCATTGATACAAAGATAACAGTATAATACATTACAAAGTATCTGAGTTATGAGAATTTGTGTTCAAAGATTCTAATTTTGACCCATAATATTACTATTGGAAATGCCTAAAAAAAAAAATTATTGGAAAAATTTCAAAGGACATGCAAGTACCTCTTCAGTAGATGTGTTTAAATTTAGTACCGATTAAAACTACTCCGTATATATGAGTAATAATACTCCATATAATTTTTTAAAAAATATACTGTATTTATTGACGATTGGGGTAAAAGGTTTATAGATTTTTGACCCACAGAAATTTAAAGAGGCAAAATTTATTTGATTTGGTGCAAGCTATAGAAAATGTAGATTTTTGTTTTACTAATGCCTGACAAGATAAAAACAGATCAGTCTTTTATAAGCATTTGCCATAAAGATGAATCTGAAGTTAACCACTCATATTGATCTTCCTCTCATTTTTATTTTGGCTGTTTCCTCTCATTTATTAATGTCACTTTTATTACTTCATGTAGTTACAGACCTTTGACCACCAGCTTTGACTAGCATCTGATTGAACTTTGAACTACACTGTCCCTACATTATGTCCACATCAACTTCTAAAAAGGACATCATCTCAATTCACAAGAAATTAATATAATTATTCCTACTATCAAATTATATTCCCTCTATTTCATCAAGGTTACGCTTACACCTTTAATACTACGTATTTCATTTAAATTACTTACAAAATTATAAAAATAGATTATTATAACTATTCCGTATTATATAGTAAAATAGGCTCATTAGATTATTTTCACTTCAGTTTAGTTCAGCTCTAATAAGTTCAGTTTATTTCAACTCCTAATTTCGTTCTCTCATTATTCATTTCAGTTCGCTTCACTTCAGTTCAGCTCTAATAACTTCAGTTCAATCAATGAGAATATGCCGATATTTTCCTCCATTACTCCCTCTCTCACTAAAATTTTAACATGATTATATTAGTGAAATTTTACAATTAAAATTTTAAAAATTTAATGTATTTAGTGGGACAGTCTACGAGGTACGGATATAGTAATAATAATATACCCCAAGAAAAAAAAGAGAGATATTGTGACAGAAGACCCATATTTTCCTCCATTACTCCCTCTCTCTCTAACTTGTTCATTTTATCTTGAATTGAGAATATTTCTTGTAAACAACATTGCATGCATAATCAAATTCCTGATCAATGGCAATGAGAGAGTACAGAAAAGGGAATTGGACAGTGGAAGAGACTATGATTCTAATTGAAGCAAAGAAGAAAGATGATGAAAGAAGGAAGTTTAGTAGATCAAAACAAACACTTCAAATTTCAACTCCTACTAGTAGTGGAAGTACTAGTAAGCCAGTGATAGAGTTAAGGTGGAAATGGGTTGAAGAATATTGTTGGGGAAAAGGCTGTTTTAGGAGCCAAAATCAGTGCAATGATAAATGGGATAATCTCATGAGAGATTACAAGAAAGTTCGAGACTACCAAAAGAACCTTCCTGAACCCGAAACCGAAACCGAGGGTGGAAGTGGTACTCTCAACAAGTCTTATTGGAGTATGGATAAGGTTGAAAGGAAAGACAAGGGTTTGCCTACTAATATGTTGCCTCAGATTTATCAAGCTTTGTATGACGTTGTTGAGACTAGTATTAGTGCTAGCTCCACTCCGACTCCGAGTTCTGCTACTACAACCGGCCAATTTTTACTGCCTTCTCCAGGGCTTGAAATGCAGCAAACTCCGTCATCGGTGCCGGCATTGCAGCTGTCTCCGCCTCAATCTATGCTTCCTTCTCCTCGCCTGCCGCCGCTATTGCAGTCTCCTCCGTCCTCGGCTTTTCTCTCTCCTCATCAACCGCAGCATCATCCATCGCCTACACTAGGTAATTTATTGTAAAATCTCCTTAATTTATTTTTCAAATTGGTTATTATTTCATGTTACACTAATATAAGTTTGGCCTAATAGTGGGGAAATTAAATGTACCTTAAATTAGTTTTTCAATTTTAACTAGGGACACTTTAGAGGTGGGACTCAGTCCTTACTCGTCCAGTCTTTCCCCACTAGATCCTAAAAAGCTATTGGTAATCGTTAACTCAGATTGGTGTGTGGGGGGTTTTAATTCGATAGGACAATTTTTCTTACCTAGCTATTCAAAAATAAATGTTAATTACTCTTTCGTATTTGATGTTGGACTATTCCAAATTCAAAGTTAATTAGAATTATATACTTCCTAGATAATAATTTTTTTTGTCTGAATTCTAAAAATGAAACAAACCAATTTATTAGTGATATCAATGTTACAATGACACTACCAAAATTATTTTATTTACGGAAATGTTATCCAATTACAAATGTTGCATAACATGATAGTGATGTTACAATATATGTACTGTTGGGTGATCACCAGAATTTGAAACAAGCCAGTATTCACATGATCCAGAATCATCACCAGCTAAGAGAAGAAGAAAAGAAGAAGCCATGGCTGCTGCTACTCATACAGCGGCCGAAGCGACCGCAATGAAGGCAACAACAACAACAGCAACAGCAACGCTAGAAGAAGTAAGCACGGCAATAAGTAGGAGTGCAACAATGATAACAGAAGCAATTCAGGCAAGTGAAGAAAGAGAAGAGAGAAGACACAGGGAAATGATGAACATACAAGAATCAAGATTAAGGATTGAAGAATCAGAATTAGAGATTAATAGACAAGGTTTTAATGGGTTAACTGAAGCAGTCAATAGGCTTGCTACCTCCATTTTTACTTGGGCTAATTCCCACAAAAATCAACAGGGTCCTTCCTAATTATTTTTTAATTAAGTCCCTTCATTGATTAATTTCTAAATTAATTATTTTGGTCTTTTATGAAAATATATTATTTTAAAAGGTAAATTGGCTTCTAAACCTTCTCTTGTTGAATTAAGAACCATATAGTGGATTCACATACACTTGTCAAATTGGTTCAAAAAATGAAAAAATTATGTGAATTGTGGAATTTTAGCTAGGGGAATTATGATAAGAGTAGTTAAAAAAAAATAGATTTTTTTGTTTTTAATGAAAGTTAATTGGTCTTTCATCTTATCTTTGCCATTGACTTGAAATGTGTTTGAAAAAAGCTGCAATTTCAATTACTGGTACTTGAATGAACTACATTATTTTTTTATTTTTTTTTGGGTATGATTGTAATTTTAATGTACTTGTATGATATTACCCTGGATAAGATCCAGGTAAGAGCCATCTCTTGCTGCCTTCTTTTCTCTATCCTTGTTTAGGAACCGTTTTTAAATACTTGATCCATTTTTCCATAAGTGGAGAAATTGGATAAAATAATAAAATATGAGATAATGGGGTGGTGGAAGAATAAAAAATTGTAAAAAGTAAAAGTAGTTTAAATAATAAGAGGAGAAACAATATAAATTTATTAAAATATGATTTATGGTGGGTTTGCTAGGTGAGAGAAATGAATAAAATATTGTAAAATCTTTCCAAATACGAAGTACAAAAATGGAGCAAGTATATAACAACTGCCGAAAAAAAATAGTGGAATAAGTATTTAAATACGGAGGAAACCTCTGTCCCTTATTGATAGTCCCTTATGAGCAATTTTCACGGGATTAATAAACATAAATAAGTAGTAGTGAGACTACATTGGAAAGGTAAATTTACATTGACTATGCAAAAAAAAAAATAGAGAGAGAAATAAATAATAGTACATGGAAAAGTTAAATTTACACAAATATTATTGCAAATTGGAGAGAATTTTGGTAAAAAATTAATAATAGTGGTACTTGAAAAAAAACAAATGGAACTATCATTTTGAGACTTAAAATTAGACATAAAGGACTATCAATAAGGGATGGAGGGAATATGTGTTTTATACTGAAATGACACACGTAATGTAAAAACATTGAGTAATGCGGAGTAATATCTTTAATTTAATCATCATTAAGTATAAATTTTTAAGAATTGAATGTTAATACTACGTATTTTTATTTAGTGAGATGATACTAACTAATTTAATCGTACTCAAGATCCATTTTAATTATGTTTTTCTTTATAGATTTTAGTATTAAAATGTGGTCAAAGTTTAGTCAAATTATTAAATCAAATTATACCAGATCAAATAATAAAAATTCAGATCAGACCATGTCAAAATTTATGAAAATTAGACCTGATCTCCTTGTTTCAGGTGAAGAGAACAAGTCCTGACTCCGAACTGTCCCGACTGGGAGTGGACTAATTCTTCAAATGAGTAAGGTGAAATGTTGAATTACTTATTTTTGAGCTTATTTATTTCCTAAGTACGGAGTAATAGGTACTCACATTTTTTTTTCTTAACGATTTTACTTTAATTTTCCCAACTACTCCATTTTAAAATGAATTTATTTTGGTGACCAACCTAAACTTAACCTGGCCAGAACTGACCCGACCCGAATTGACCTGACCTGAAATCGACCCAAAAATTGATCCTTAAAATTCATTCGACCTGAACTTAACCCGAAGTGCTAACTCAAAACCCGAATTGACCCAACTCGAGCCGAATATTTGTTGACCCAAAATTGATCTGACCCAAATTCACCTGGCTCGAACCCAATCCGAAGGACCCGTTTGGCCTATATACTTTTAATTGCGTATTAGTGTAAATTATGTAAAATTGGTACTACATATTGATCTGACAAATTTATTTAGTATGAAAATTTTAATACAAAAGGCAGTCAAAAGCTAATTCAATACAATGTTGATCCTCCTTGATTCGAATATACTTCCTCCGTTCTTTTTTACTTGACCCGCTTTGACTTTTACACTATTCACCACCCCTCCTTTAACCGTGTTTTGTGAATAATATGTAATAAAAACATATTTATGTTGGATCATTTTGAATTCAATTTGTCTCAATAAGTACTATCATAATATATAACTTTTATATTTTTTAATTATGGAGAATTAAAGTTATTAACCGTTAAAGTTTTGTATTGGCAAGCGTGATAAAAGAAACAGGTTAAGTAAAAAAGAACAGAGAAAGTAACTTATTATTTATTTTTCTACAATTTATTATGTAGGGAAATAGAATGCAATATATACATACCATGCAAAATTGGAATGTTGTATATTTTGGTAAATGTGAAAATAAGATTTAGAATGTAATGTGAAATTTCCTAATTTGAATATTATTATATACTTCGTAATAAAAAACTAATCAAAGTAAAAGAAAGATTGATGTTGGTAGTTCATACACCAAATTTTCATTATCCACCTCTTATAAAATACAGATGATTATATCCTTATTTTTTATTACAATGATAACTGTTATCATGTTATTTATATACTTCCTTCGTTTTTTTATTATTGCACCATAAGGGTTGGGTGCAAATATTTTGGTAGTGGAAAAAAGTAAGAGAGAAAAAGGTAAAAATACAAAATTGCCCATGTGACATATAGATAAACTAAAAAGTAAGTGTAAAAAATAAGGGTATGTTGGGTATTTGTAGTGTGAACACAAATAATTTTTTTCCTAAAAAGAAAATGGTGCAATATTTGTGAAACTTCCTAAAAAGGCAAGTGGTGCAATAATAAAAGAACGGAGGAAGTATAAATTTATATTCATTTGCCAAATTGGGAGAGTCTACAATACATGACATACGTTGTTATGTATTATAAATGATATGTATTGCTATGTACTACTAAATTAGATATATAGATTTAAAATTAAAACTTTAAATTTTTTTTGAAGAAAAAAGTTGATTCCTCCTGCCAAAAAAAATAAAAAGTCGATTCTTTCTCCTCCCAATTTTGCTTTCCACTTTAATTATTTCATGTAGCTTGAAGCAAATTATAATGGGAAGGAATAAAATCACTCAATATCATTGATTCATTGAAGATTTAATTGAGGTAACTAATTTGATTGTTTGTGAATTTTAAATCTTCCTCACATATCTAAAACCCTAATTTGTGTTTCCAATATTGAATCAATCAATTATTAACATTTACCTTCATTGAGTTCGTGATTAATATTTCAAACATTGAACAATCATATTTCATTTTATTATTTTTGTATCAACGAATATTAAATAATAAATAATAGCATTGATATAAACATAAAAATATTAACTGAAATCTAATGTGGGCTCCATGGCGTTGTAGGGGCTGCACTTAGGGACATCAGATCAGTGTGGAAGTGCCCGACTAGTGGCTGCATCAAGGCTACTGTTGATGCTCATATTCCAGCTGGGAATTGGGCATATGTTGGTGTTGTTTTCAGAGAGATGGTTTGGGTATAGAAAGTTGTGGATCGTATTTGTTTGATGTTTGTTGTTTTTCTCATGTTCAAAGAGCTTGTACCACATTAGCTCACCTAATGGCACTGTGGGATACAAGTGTGAATTCCGAGTATATATGTTTGGGATTGATTATGTACTTGTCTTATACGGATTAGAAACTCTTTAGGTCAAAATCTGAAAAAATTGTTGTCATCTATAATAATAGGTCACTTCATCACCAAGTGTTATATGATTATCATAGCTAGGTAATTAATAATTATTCAAAAGCTTTAGGGTTTGAACGTAAGTGTTGTGTTGCCAAATCAAGTGTTTGCTCAATTGCTTATGTACGAGTAAGTGACATGGTTTGTGCTTAATAATTTCATATCGTGTGGACATTTAGTTTTGTACTCTTAAAATTGTGTTGTATTTTCTATTGAATAGCTTATTTATTTTGAATTTGAAAGCTTATTGACTCAAATGATAGAGCAATGTACCTTTGTACATAGATGTAGGTTCAAATCCTACATAAGCTATAATTATAACACTACATATAAATTGGATGCGGCAAAAGAAATATTATGGTGCTTTACGCATCCTTTCTAGTACTTAATGGCTCAAACTAATAGATCTCATGTTTTGTTTATCATGTCGCCTTAAAAAGAATAAATAAATTGTATAAATATTCTCTCCGTCCTATTATTAAATGCTCATTTATCATATTTTGTGAAAATTTAATCCCTCTTTGTAAGGTATATGGCACAATTAAGTCAATAATTAAGACAATTAAAACGAAAATAATGTTTAATCATATTTTGGACAATAAGAGATGGCAAAAAAGAATCTTAAAAAAAAAGGCTAATTTAAGTGTTGGTATTCACATTAAATAATATGTAAAAAAAATATTTTGTAATAAATAATAAGCACTATAATTGAAAAAAAAAATTAAAATTAATTTGGAAAAAGAATCGATCCTGGTACCTTCAAGTGAAACTAGGAAACACTTGACCATCTTAGCTAGATTTAAAATTTGTTTAAAAATACAAATATTAAATAGTATATTAGATAAATAGAATTAGTGGTACATAGCAGTACATTACTTTAGTGGTACATTGTGGTACATGTCATTTACTATAGAATTTTCGTGCCAAATTATACATGGATCATGTATGATTTTATTTTGGTTTCAAAAAATATGTTCCAAATTAATGTGATGTAATTAATGTAAAGGTAGCAAACATATCAGTTGATGATGAGGATCATGTACTGGTTTTTTTTTTTTTTTTTTTTTTAATTTCGTTGAACAATAAATCTAGCTTATAATATAGTAATTTAACATAAGTTAGCTTGATGCCTTGAGCGCGACCAAGAGTTCTAGCTGAAAAATAGCAACAAGTCGGTTGATTTTGGATTTGTATTGTGTATAATTTGAGTTTGAGTTGATACAAATCTATTAGAGTTAGTGTAAGTAGGCATTTGATTTCAAGTTAAATGGTTGACTATGAACACAAGTCAGTGAAAATGATCCGCGTAAATAGCGTCGTAATTTGCCATTTTATGGCACTAAATAGTTTCACACAAAAAAAAAGAAAAAGAAAATGATAATCCATGAGCATGTTCCACGTGGACTATGCTTAACCCATGGGCTGAATCCATGAACTGTAGTCCAAACTCCAAATTAAATAAAACGGTACCAAATCAAAACGACAAAACCCACGGGATCACTTTATCCATCAACGATTACAATCCAAACATAATTAACTAATAAATCTCCCATTCTCCCCTATCCAACTCTAAAGTAATCATTAATCCCTTCGTTTTCAAACACTTACTCTATTTTTTCTAAGCGTTTATGTTGTATCTTTAATATCAACAAGTATTACGGAGTATAAGATTTATTTTTTTACATAGATATAAATAACTAACATTATTAAAGTAGGATGAATAAATAGTGCAAAAAGTAGAAATAAAATGAGTATTTTAAAACGGAAGGAGTATGAAATTATATACTCCGTGTTCCGTAACTCAGTATTTATTACGGAGTATTATTATCCATTTAATGTAGTCATCTTCATACACACTCTCCCTTCATTTTCTCTCTCTCTCACCTTTCGGTTTCAGTGTTGGTTGAGCATTTTAGGTGGAGTCTTTCCTTTACCTTCTTCCTCGTTCTCTCTCCTGATCAAACCATTTTTTTTTATTTATTTTTTGCGATTTTCTTCACAATTCTATTGCTTTCACCTTAATTTCTGACGATTCGATTGCAATTATGTCGATTTCTAACGATTAGGGTTTTGATCGGTGTTTTGTTTTGTACATATTGATTTTTGGGTTTTGGATCTTTCAGCTGTGAATTTAGGGTTGTTTATTGTTGTTGTTGATATGCATATTGAGGATTTTGAACCGGAAGAGGTGGTGGGATGTCAATCGGAGAAGAAGATTAACGATTTTTTCGATGATTCTAGGGTTAGGGTTTCTGGAGATGATCCAAACGTCGTCGCTTGGGATACCAAAAGGGTGTTGATTGGAGCTGGTGCTCGTGCCTTGTTTTACCCTACTTTGGTTTACAACGTTGTTAGGAACAAAGTTCAATCTGAGTTTCGTTGGTGGGATCGGATTGATAAGGTATCTTATTTACCACTTAATTATTTACATTTTTTTTTTTATCGATTAGACTTTGATTTTGTGCAATTTGCTTGTTTATTAATTAAATTTCTTGAAAAACAAGGATGATTTGATATTTTCCGATCGTTTTTATTGCTCGGATTGATGTTCAATTTTTTTATTTTGATTTGTTCATTTTAATTTTTGTGTAATTTGACCCTGTTGCAGATTTTACCCAGTCGTGGATGTCATTTTTGTGGAAATTGAGATTGAATAATTGAAATTTGACTTTATCTTCTAGGTTGAGAGGTTGTGATCGTTTGAGACATGGGTCAAATGTTTTGAATCTTGTTAAGTTTTGGTTTGTTTGAGCTCCAAAAAAGCTGATGAGCACCATTTTGACTTTGTATATTTTGGATTCAATTTGATGAATGGAATTTTCTGTTAATTTTTGGGCTTTTTAATTTTGTTGGTGGTATGTTATTGTCAATTAACAATCGGTAAACAATCGATTACCTTTTTTGTCGTGATATTCATGCCCAAACACCATTTACGTTGCCATTTTCTGTTCAAATTGACTTGGGATTGATATAATGTCCCCCCCCCCTCCCCAAAAAAATAAAAAAAAAATAAAAAATCAATGTTTGTAAGGTAAATAATCGTGCAGTAATGCCATCATTTCCATGTAATAAATTGTTAATTCAATAGCACGGTTTTAAGTTACTACCACAAAATTAGGTATTAATAATTTAGCCTTAAATTGTTTTATAGTGACACAATATGCATCCTAGTTAGGAGCATGATTGGTATTGATTGGAGCAAATGAAGATATTTAGTCTTCCCTGTTACATAATTTGCCAATGTCGTATTGGGGTGTTTAATGCTAATTATAACATAGTTATTATGTTCCTTTGTTGCTTTCAGAATAGCCTAATGTTGTGTCATGTGCTGTAAGAAGTGTCAGCTGTGTGCCAAAGTTGCCTGAATGACTTCATTTATCAACCATAATGTGGAAATAAAAGAAGAAATTTACTTATATAAACGTTTCTTTTGCTGCTGGTCTTTTTCTTATTTCTAACTCGAGTGCCTTCAGTTTGTGTTGCTAGGTGCTGTTCCATTCCCTAGTGACGTTTTGCGATTGAAGGAACTTGGTGTGCACGGAGTGATCACTTTAAATGAGCCTTATGAGACTTTGGTTCCTACATCTCTCTATCATGTGAGTGGGCCGATTTATTTGTGGCTGTGTTCATGCATTAACTTGTATATTAAATGTTTTCAAAATACTTTTCTTCTGGTCTTTTAACTTTGGAAATGTGCTTCAAATTATACTCTTATCATGATAGTTTTTTTATTTTTTATTTTTTGAAATTATATATATATGATCTCCCCTTATATAGTCATTTATGCTATCTCATTTCTCTAATTATCTTCCATCTATGTGTACTTCGATACTTCCCTTTTATTAACATCTTGCTCTTAATGAGATATTTTTCTTCTTCTGCCTCTTTTACATGCAAGAACTTTTCACCTGTTCCACATATGCACTATCGCTTTGCAATTCTCTTTCTACGTCATTTCCCACTTTACTTCTTCAACCTTCCTCTTTTCAGCATGTTGCTTTTGCTCTTTATAATAATTTGAAAACTTAATAAAGGCATGCTATTATTACCTTCATTTACTTTTTTGATGAGAAAGATCTAGATAGAATGTGGAGTATTGCAGGAACTTATTGTTTTACCTTTTCCAGTTGCTAATATTGGTCAGACGTATTTGTTATTACCTGATTTTGCATTGAGTTGGATGCTCTATATATTTGGTCAGACATATCAGTTAATACCTGATTTTGCATTGAGTCGGATGCTCTTTATCTTGTGTGATTCTTTCAAAAATGTGCATTTTGTTTATCATTGCCTTTTTTTGCTACTTAATCTTTATTATTGTTAACTCTGTTTTATTGTTGAACATGTTAGGCTCATGGCATTTATCACCTTGTGCTTCCTACTAGAGACTATCTCTTTGCTCCCTCAATGAATGATATATGCCAAGCTGTGGACTTCATTCATAGTAAGCTGTTTTATGTACTTGACTTTCATATGTATTATTAATATTTAATTTTTAGAATTGTTCAGTTGGACTTCATGATTTGAAGCATTGTATTGTGTGCTGAACTTATGTTCTGCAACACTGAATACGATGTTTTGCGGTCTGGGATTCTGGGTGCCAAATATATGCAGCTCTACTTCTGCTCAGTTTATGCTAGGGCTGTCAAACGTGTCGTGTCGTGTTCGTGTCAATATTAAACGGGTTGAAAAACCCTTGACCCAAACCTAACCCATTTATTAAACGGGTTGAAAACCCTTGACCCAAACCTAACCCATTTATTAAACGGGTTACCCGAGTAACCTTTTAGCCCACATAATATATATAGTAAACTAATTAATATTCAACCTAATAATTAAAGACATACATCATTAACGATACTACAAGAGATTAAAGCTACTTATTTTGGCAAAAGATACTAAAGATAATGGTTTTAGCAACCCAACTGATACATAAAAGTTGTCCCAAGTCCCAACCTTCAAAATGACAACTTCTAAAACATGCATCAGTACTTAAGTTTACGGATTACATATATGATTAAGTCTTAAATAAAGAGTAACTGAGTACTATCTAGAATCCTCTAAAGTGGAAAAGTGAAATGTAAAAAAGTTAAAAAAAATAATAATTATTTGTCCGCCAAATTAAACCGCCAAACAATCCCCTAAATTTAAGTATAGTGCCAATGCTTTATAGAACCAGTATAGTACAAGTTTAGAATAATGTTTAAAAAAAAATTTTTAGAATAAAAAATTCAGGTTTCTTTTTCTACTTAATAATCGGGTTAGCGTGTCGGGTTCGTGTTAACGGGTTGTCGTTCAACCCATTTACATAATCGGGTTATGCGTGTCGGTTTCGGGTTGAAAATTTCAACCCAAACCTAACCTGTTTAATTACGTGTCGTGTTCGTGTCGACCCAATTATTTAAACGGGTCGAGAATTCTTGACCCAAACCCGCTTATTTCGTGTCGGGTTCGTGTCGAGTTGTCGTGTCGTGTCAGCTTTTGACAGCCCTAGTTTATGCTCTTAGCTGGTGTAGAGGCTAACTTAAATTTGCTATCTCCTTTTTCTTCTATATCTGTTTAATCTTTTTTTGAGGTAGATGGATTGGATAGTTTGGACATTTTAGAGAGTGCTTGCTATTAAGTCATGTTTGTTATCATATTGACATACTGTGATACTGTGCCAGGGAGAAGTTAATATTAGTTGTAGACTTGTAGTTGGTGGTTGACACTGCGAGATCTGATTAATATAGTTCTTTCTCTCTCTATTGATTTATATTGTGCTTACTCCTTTATTTATCATTTTCAAAGGAAATGCGTCTCGCGGGTGGATGACTTATGTACACTGTAAAGCTGGTCGAGGTCGCAGCACCACAATTGTCCTATGTTACCTGGTCTGGGCTTTACTTCACTAAGTACCTGAGTTGATTGAATGACTGCTACTGTGCCTTTGCTTCATATTTTATGTTACGTGTGCAGGTGCAACACAAGAAAATGACTCCTGAGGATGCTTATAGCTACGTGAGATCCATCAGACCAAGGGTTCAGCTTGCTTCAATTCAGTGGCAGGTACTTTATCGTTGACTTGCCTTTGTTCAATTGCCTTCTACACTAGTTGACTTTTTACTTTATTGCTTTGGATTAAAATTTTATATTTGTGTTGCACTTGTATTGTTGACTGTAGGCTGTTAAGGATTATTACAATTATAAGGTGAAGAGCTGTAGCTCAAAATCGTGCAACGATTTGATGATAATTAGAAGCTCAGGGCTTCCACCAGTGGGCAACTTGTTTGAATTTGATGATTGCTCCGTAGTGGTGGTGACGAAATCCGATCTTGACGGTTATGATCCGAGTAAGCAGAGTGTTGAAGATAGTCAGATATTCGCAGATCTGAGTGTAATTTACAAGGCACGTGTTGCTGGCCAGGCAGCTCTAGCCAGGCTTTCCTGCTTGTGGCTGCGTTGCCATACCCAGCAGAAGATTGCTGAGGAGCAGCTTCTAAGGCAGGGTAGCTGCACCATCACGGCAGACCAGATAAGCGGTAGCCTTACTGTAGACATCCGTGTGTATTAAGATGATGTTAATGTATTTGCGTCAAAATCAAAGATGTTTGATACCCTGTTTTCTAATTCCTGCCCTGGTAAATATGAGAAGGCTAATAAAAATTGTGGGTTTAGCTTGGCCTGGCCTTGCTTTCCCTTGTAAATATTGTCTTTTTTTTTTTTTATAGAAATGTCAAATGTTTAGTTAGGACTCTTTAGGAGGAGCTCTCCTCTTGCTCCATTAGTAAATTACATAGCGGCGATAGTGCTAGTAATTGAAGTAAATACGAAGTATGTGCTTATAAATTTATAATCTAAAAGCATCAATATGAATTGTTCGAGTTTGAGAGTAATTTACTTAAAAAATCCTTGTATGGTGATGGAAGAATTTCCTGTGCCTGGTGATGCAAAGAAGCCTGCTTCTGGAACTGTTATTGGGTCTTGGACATCCGAACCACCTGATCTTTTATACTGTTATTGCCAATTAGCCTTCGATATGTTTGTTTTTCGGTCAGTTGTCGCTCATCACATGTCAATTGTGAACTAGTCATTTTACAACCTCAAGTTTTACAGCATTAGGCAATGTTGCAAGATGTTCTTCAGCTCTGGTACACTTGAATACTTGACCTTGTCTTCTTGTATGGCTTTATCTTCCAATCTCCAACGTAAGTAAATGGATGGTTTTCCTAGTTTCGAAGATTATTACAATATAAAAAAGATGGTTATCCATGTCGTCTCATCCTTTTGAAGGTATCTCGTCATGGACCCCATGAAACCCGGGAGTTTGCTTGATTTGTTTGAATTGCCCACTTATTTATATGTCTCGTGTCATTGACTCAAGGTTGTCACTACTTTTTATATGACTAACTAGCGAACATATATGATTTTAAATAACATTATTTTTCTCCATTTTTTTCAAGTATGTTTTGACTTTATGCATTATTTACATAAGTTGTTGACTTTGTTAACTTGGTCATTGAAGAAACTCAGTTCAATATTTGAACAAATTTAACTCAATTACATAGAATTCTTTGTTGGTCAATTGTTGCATTAAGAAGTTATTAAATAAATAAAAAATAAATCAAAGATGTATGAATTTATACCAAAAAAAGCCTATATGCTGTCGTAGTAAGGTAAAGCTGAAGCATCATGTTACCCGAACCATGAGGTTTATTCGGATTAAGAATGTTACCCGAATCATGTTACCCGAACCATGAGGTTTAAGAATGTCATAGCCATAACTCAAAAGCTTTTCTTCTCGTTCCTCGTGGTTTCCACTAGAGCTTTAAAAAGTTGACCTGATCTGAAATACTGACTCAAACTCGATTATTAACCGATTCAATTGAACCCGAAAAAATGGTGACCCAAACCCGACCTGAACCAACCAACAACCAACCCTAGACCCGAGTATATAAGACCCGAACATGAACTGACTTGGAGATGATATGACCCGAATGTAACCCGTAAATTATTGACCTGAACTGAACCCGACTTGAACCGAAATAGACCCAAACCCGTTTTAACCCGTCAAAACCCAAATTTATCCCGACTTGTTACTAACCTGATCTGAATTCAACCCGACTCGTTCCAAACCAGACCTGAATTTAAGCCAACCTGTTACAAACCCGACCCGAAATCAACCTGACTTGTTATTGACCCGATCCGAATTTTACCAGACCTATTACTAACCCGACCCAAAAATCCAACCCGATCTGTTACTAACCCGACTTGAAATCGACACGACTTGTTATTGACCCGACCTAAATTCAACCCAAATTGTTCCTGACCCGATTTCAAATCACCTTAAATGCAATTTAGACCACCTAATTATTGTTGATCAAAGCATTTTGTCTAGGGAGACCAAATCGGTCCAGGCCAGCAAAAGAAAGGAGCATCATCCTCAAATTTAAGAGTTAAATTTAGTATATATTTGTTGTATGGTCAAAGGAGATAATTATCTTCCTAAATTATAAACTATAGTTCCCTAATATATTGCCATATAAATTATAGACAAGGGAAAAAATTAGATTGATAAAAATGATAATTATCTATTTATAATTAGTTAAACCCGAATATGACCGGACTTGGAAATGACCCGACTTGATTATAACCTGCAAATTATTGACTTAAACATAACCCGACATGACTCCGAGAATGACCCGACTTGGAAATGACCCAATCTGATTATAACCCGCAAATTATTGACTTGAATCGAACCAAACTTGAACCCGAGACTGACCCAACTTGAAAATGACCCGACCTGATTATAACCCGCATATTATTGACTTAAGCCAAACCCAACTCAAACCCAAGAATCACCCGACCTGATTCTAACTTGCAAATTATTGACTTGAACCGAACCCGACTCGAACCCAAAAATTACCCTAACCCGTTTTAACCGGTGAAAACCCGGATTATACTCGATCTATTATTCACCCAACCCGAATTTAACCCGACCTGTTATTAACCCGACCCAAACCCGATAAGAAATATGACCCAACGTGACCCGACTCAAGCATGACCTAACCCAAACACGGCCCGCATAAGTTTTGAAATTAATCCGAATTGACCCGACCCGCTCTTACCGACCCAAACCCGACCCATTTACCCGAATTGACAGCTCTATCCGAAACCTCCAAAATTTCTCAAAAGAGTGCATATTAGCATTCAATTTTGGAATTTTTTTTTACCTTTTTTCAACTGAAAATAAAAATTGCCGAAATGTTTACCTAGGTCCCTAATACCCTCCGAGAGTCCAATTGGCAAGGTGGAACCATCCAATTTGTCTTTAAATGATCAATTTACCAGTTTATAACTTGCACCGATTTCATTAACTCAAATATACCACGAACATTGATAATAACATATAATGATCATTTATGGACCCAAACGGAATTATATGACCCCGAGATGTATCCCCTAAAATCTCAATGTTTTTCGACACCGGACCCCAATATGTTCGAAATTTCTCAAAAAGCGTGGATATTGGCCTTCAATTTTGGATTTTTTTTGACTTTTTTCGCCAGGATATAAAAATTTCCGAAATGTTTACCATAGAACCAAATACCCTCCGAGAGTAAAAGTGGGTGGGTAGAGCCATTCAATTTGCCTTTAAACGACCAATTTATCGGTTTACAACTCACATCGATTTCATTAATTCAAGCCTACCACTAACATTTATTACAACAAATAATGATCATATATGGTTTCAAACGACATTATATGACTCTGAGATGTATTCCCTAGAATTTCAAGACTTCTCGACACCGGGCCCCGAAAACTCTAAAAATTCTCAAAAAGCGTTGATATAGCCTTTAATTTTTGAATTTTTTGACTTTTTTTGCCCGGAAATAGAATTTGTCGAAATGTTTACCATGATATCTAATACCCTCCGGGAGTCCAATTGGGTGGGTGGAAACATCCAATTTGCCTTTAAATGGCCAATTTACCGGTTTGCAACTTGCGCTGATTCCATTAACTCAAGTCTACCACAAACATTTATGACAACCATAATATTACCCCGAGATGCATTCCCTAAAATCCACAAACATATAATGATTATATATGGTTCCAAATGGAATTATATTACCCCGAGATGCATTCCCTAAAATCTAAAGGTTTTTCGACACCGGGCCCCGAAACCTCTAAAATTTCTTAAAAAGCGTGGATATTAGCCTTCAATTTTGGATTTTTTTTTTACTTTTTTCGTCCGAAAATAAAAATAGCCAAAATGTTTACCATGGTCCCTATTACCCTCAAGGAGTCCGATTGGGTGGATGAAACCATCCTATTTGCCTTTAAACGACCAATTTACCGGTTTACAATTTGCATCGATTAAATCCACACAAGCTTACTACGAACATTTATGACAACATATTATGATCATTTATGGTTCCAAACGGAATTATATGACCCCACTATGTATCCATTAAGATCTCAAAACTTTTTGACAACGAGCCTCGAAACATCCTAAATTTCCCAAAAAGCGTGGATTTCAATTTTGGAATTTTTTGACATTTTTTCGCCCGAAAATAAAAATTGCTGAAATGTTTACCATGATTCCTAATACCCTCCGGGAGTCCAATTGGGTTGGTAGAACCAACTAATTTGCCTTTAAACGACCAATTTACCGGTTTACAAATTGCACCGATTTTCATTAACTCAAGCCTACCACGAACAATTATGACAACAAATAATGATCATATATGGTTTCTAACAACAATATATGACCCTGAGATGTATCCCCTAAAATTTCAAGACTTTTTGACACCGGGCCTTAAAACCTCCGAAATTTCTCAAAATGCGTGGATATTAGTCTTCTATTTTGGAATTTTTTGACTTTTTTTTCGCCCGGGAATAAAAATTGTCGAAATGTTTACCATGGTCCCTAATATCCTTCGGGAGTCCAATTGGGTTGGTGGAACCATCCAATTTACCTTTAAACGACCAATTTAATTACCGGTTTACAGCTTGCACCGATTTCATTAACTCTAGCCTACCACGAACATTTATGACAGCAAATAATGATCATATATGGTTCCAAACGACATTAAATGTCCTCCAGATGTATCCCCTAGAATTTCATGACTTTTCGACACCGGGCCCCGAAACCTCCAAAATTTCTCAAAAAGCGTGGATATTAGCCTTTAATTTTAGAATTTTTAGATTTTATTTCGCCCGAAAATAATAATTGCCGAAATTTTTACCATGGTCCCTAATATCCTTCGAGAGTCTAATTGGGTGCGTGGAATCATCCAATTTGCCTTTAAACGACCTATTGACCGGTTTATAACTTGAGCCAATTTCATTAACTCAAGCCTACCACGAACACTTATGACAACAAATAATGATCATATATGGTTCCAAAAAATATTAAATGACATCGAGATGTATCTCCTAGAATTTCAAGACTTTTCGACACCCGGCCCCAAAATTTCTCAAAAAGTATGGACATTAGTCTTTAATTCTGGAATTTTTTGACTTTTTTTCGCTCGAAAATAATAGTTTCCGAAATTTTTACTATGGTCCCTAATACCGTCCGGGAGTCCTATTGGGTTGGTGGAACCATCCAATTTGCCTTTAAACGACCAATTTACCGGCTTACAACTTGCACAGATTTCATCAAGCCTACAACGAACATTTATAACAACAAATAATGATCATATATGGTTCCAAACGAAATTATATGACCCCGAGATGTATCCCATAGAATTTCAAGACTTTTCGACATCGGGCCCGGAAACCTTTAAAATTTCTCAAAAAGTGTGGATATTAGCCTTAATTTTAAAATTTTTAGAATTTTTTTCGCCCGAAAAAAAAATTGTCGAAATGTTTACCATTG